TAAACTAGTTTCGTTTTTAACATCTGGAGTAGAGTTACACTTCCATTTTTATTCTCTTTCCACTAATTCCACATAGTTTCTGTCTCATTAAATGGGTGCAATGACTTCATCATCACCAGCTTTTGTCTTTCAGGGTAAGTAGAATGTTAAATTCAATAATACTGCTTTAAAAACAATACAAAATTATGACTCCTATCTGATTAATTTGTTTACTTGTATTTATTTTAGCTACACAGTAGGCTATCTGCGCTTTTTACACCATTAGGTCGAATCCCGGATTTTAGCACTGTAAGTCTGTAAACTTAATGCTGACCTACTGGGTACGTGTTTGACCGAAGTTTAAGTTAAATAGTCATCGATAGTACCTTGACAGAGAATAAAAATTTAACTCATATTTGATCAAAGCTCCGAATTAAATCTTGATCAATATTTATACAAAATAGTAATTTATGCTTTTTGACTAAGCTTCTCAGACTAATCCTTTCTTAATCCTGCCTAAGAACAAACTTCATCAAATCCTTCTCTTCAAGAGGGAGAGAGAGAGATTGACATTGTTTTTAATTGGGATGAACTTACCTGTCAAATAAAAATAATTAATCATGTAAATATATATTCTAAAAGGTAGTAACATATCTTTGATCAAACTTCAAGGATAAATACTGACTTCATCAATAGTACATGAAGGTCGTACAAAATAATAACTTGTGTTTAACTATGACCAGACGTGAAAAATACATGAATTAATTAACACCATACGACTGAAAAAGTGAAGAGAAACCCAAATTTATTTGTAATATTTAAGTCACTAGTGACGTATTCATAAATTGAACTTTTGTTTCATGTGGAAAAAATATTGGAGAAACAACTTTTATTTTGAATCAAGAAGTTCACATAGCAAGGTTAAACAATTCTTTAGTGCGGTATCTGTTATATATTCTCATCTTCTTGAAAAGCTGTAAAAAGACTGTTTAAGTACTTAAGTATGTGCTTTGAAAATATTTGATTACATACTTTTAAATCCGTCATGGAAACTGTGACAGTTCATTGCTACAAGACTTAATTTAACTTTTGTTGAGAATTATAATTGTTCAAGACAGTTATCATTCAGTGGTAGAACGATCGAATAATTACTATATATTTTAATGGCTTCATTTAAGTACAGTATTATACTTAATATATAATATATTATAACATTTACTTTCTAGCTCTTGATCATAAAACACATACAAATACGACAAAATCACGATACTACAGTACTTTACCCATTAACCCAATTGTCAATTTTTCCCCAATAATTTATTCTTCCCTATTTTCTCAACCAGTTTATGACATAACGATTACTTAAAATACATATGTCCAAATAATTAAAAATAGAATAATCTTTTCTTTTTTATTATTCTAAATGTTAAACATATCTTTAAACAATTGATAAAATACTTGTTTATTCGTTGTATTTAATTTTAGGTATGTGTAATATAAAAAAAGGAAAAACAACATCCTGATCATTCAGTTCTGCTTAACAAAAAATTTTTTATAGGTAGAGGTAGATAGATAGATATTTCGAAGAGGAAGTGGTTTCGTATACGCGCTACATTACGACTAGGTGGGTGATTTAGTCAATACACTTTTTTCCTGATAAAAGGGATTGGGATAGAGGGGAATTTACCCTCCTAAACGTGTGATTCTTCCTCGAGCATAGTTTATGCCCTCTTTTAATTGAACTTTTAAAATGCTAATGTATTCCATCTAAATGTGCAAAAAAAAACATAAAATTATACGCTTCATATACCATCGTTTGACTTAACTTGTTTTATTGTTGAACTACGAATTCAGATTTTTGGAACATATACATTCTGGCATTCGACGACTAAAAAAGAAAAAAAAACGCATTAACTCTGCTTTATAAAGTAATAGCGAACTAGTAATTACTTATCACAATGATGTTATTTTCCTTGCTTGAATTTCACAACTAGTATGTAAAACATTTGATTTTGGCAGGGTGCTGAATTACCCAAATAGGTCACTTGATCCGGGTGAATATCATAGACGATGATGTCAGGTTATCTATAGAAGGAACCTTGTTTTGTATCTCAGAATACGCCTCCGAACAGGGAAGAGGAAGTAGTTTCATATATGAACCAATAGAGGCCGCTCTCTCTCGTTCCGACGGAAAGCGAGATCCAATCCACACACGTACATTACGTATCAGTTTGTTGAGGGTAGGAGAACGCGTTGAGTCAGATGTTTCAATCTTACTTTGCGCGATGTGTACTGGTTTCACCTCTCGCCTCCTGACCCGATAATTCTACTTTTCATCAACTGGTATTCAGGCTACTACTTTCACTCGTGTTCCCATTTCCGAAAGTCAACAGCACTGCCAAAGTGTGTTTCGTTAGATTATTCATATGACAGTTTTATCGCTTATGAAAACGCACAAGAATTTTTGGACGAATAATTATAGAAACGTCGGTATATATTGTTTAATTTAATATATCCGGTACAATGCCGTACTATATTTGTAGTTATTACAATTCCGAGTTCAGATTATAAATTTGTTTTGTTAGTCACCTGTTTGATTCTACGAATAAAAAGAAACAATAACAACTTAATAATCGTTTAAAGTGCGAACTCTTTAATTCCGTAGTTACTTTATATCTGAAGTTTGACATCAGCCAGAGGAAACACAGGCAAGAAGCTTGAAGAAGTAGACATGAAACCAAAGGACTTCTCGAAACCTAAGTATCATGGCACATTCAAAAAATTCCTCTTGAAGCGTTATTGTAAGTATATGTAATAAGAGATTATTTACTATGTTCGTATATATATATATATATATATTACTTAAGGCGATGTTAATAACTTAATAACACTAGCGAACATTATGTGTTAATAGTTTTTGTCACTTCTGCTTTAAATTAATGACACTGTCACCGTGGCGTGAATTACCATTACTGAAAATTTGCGAAGTTTCATCACATGCATAGTAAATACAAGCATTTTCCCCGTTTGTGCTCGACCTTTGACCTGATTGTAATTATCCCTTTAATACGATACAGTATTGATACTTATAACATGACTTCTGATATGCTTTGTAAACTACAACCGTACATCACATATCGTACCAAATCGCTGAGTAGCTGATTTCTTGGACTTGAATTTATTGTACTTCGCCCTTTACAGTTACATCATGGATATGGGGTGTACGAAATATGAGCAGATTGGTAGAGACAGGTTTTTGGATGTAGTTGTGCTTTATGTTGAAGCACATCTGCATTATTTATTTATTTTTTTAGAAGTAGCAGTGAATTTACAAGAGATTAAGTTGCACAGGCACGTTTACACGGAAATGTTTGCTTTATGAGGAAATTGATATTTTAGCTCCAGTGATTAGATATGCGTCATACGTGATCAGTGAACGACACATGAAACCATCTCTTGTGGAAGACTGACTTAGAAAATTACTCGTAATGCGTCATCTATTTGGTTTACCATTGACAACTAATATATGCAATATGAAGAATGCCCTATATATCAGAAAGGCATCTGAATATATGTGTATTAACACCTGTAAATTGTCCGGAAGAATATTCGGGTGATGAATTGTATTTCATGTGAAACATTTTGACAGACTTATTAATCCAACTACTTAGAGAGGACGAAGATTAACTCTAGTTAGTAGTAGATCAATATGTATATATATTCTCTAAACACATAGACGAAGTCCGTTCAAAACGTTTCTCTTGATTATCGTCCTCCAACTTAAGTCAAAAGTAGCTTTTAAATTCATTGGATTATATAATGATGGCAAATGAATACACACTTTTCTATGTATACGTAGCAAAATTTGTGAAAGGAAATTGGGCTTTTGGGTTATCTAAGTGAAAGAAATAAGTTTGAAATAGTTTTATTTAAATAAATGTAAATAGTTATTACGTTTATACTGCACCACGGCTTTAGTTACAATCAAAATAATGCAACCATTTCAGATCTAGCTACTGTCTCCTACACGCCCAAGAGGCCTTTTGTATAGTGCCAGAATTCGTCAGTCGTGCTGGACGATGAGAGGCAAAAGATTCCCTGAAATGCTACATGTAGCATAATACTTAAAATTTCCTTTAAACGCCGAAAGCCTGAAAAGTACTAGAAACCCATAGACCCAAAATTGGTGACAAAAAATCATGCAAACTGCAGATGTCCCCATTTTCCACATTCCTCTTAATTTATTTGTTCATTGCGGATTCAAAACTAGAGACGTATAAATATAGCATTTCAGATCTACGCCCTATCTCCTATACGTCACTGATTAAATTAGTAGGAATGTGGAAATTGGATATCTGAGGTTTGCGTGATTTTTGTCACAAATTTTGGGCCTATTGGTTTCGGCGTTTAAACCGTAGCTTTCAACATGTAATCTTTAGTTAAATTTATATTAAGTATTAAACATAAACGTTCACCACTGTTTTCCCATCGTTGTAGTTTAAAAGACGTTTTATTTAACATGCAAAACCAGTTTGTAGAATAACATTATTTATCTTTAAGGATCACAGAAAATCAGGTTGGTGAAAGGATCGAAGTTGCTTTGGACACCTGTTTAACGGTTATATGTTTCAATTTTTTCATCTAAGTAAACATAACACACTGTATCAAAAATCATTTTGGTACAGTAAATAATGCCCCCCACCCCCAGTGGCACAGTCTACGGACTTACAACGCTAGAAACCGGGTTTCGATACCCGTGGTGGGCAGAGCACAGATAGCCCATTGTGTAGCTTTGTGCTTAACTACAAACAAACAAACCAATAGTAAATAATACTAGCGTTCAATCAGTTGCTTTATAGATTATGTACTATACATTTTCTACATGTAATTACCAAAGTACCCTTGGATATAAAAACCCGTCATTTATTAAACTTTCGTGTGTGATGGGAATCTTAACAATAGAGCCGGGATGTTGCGAAAAATGGGATAAAAGTTTAATGTTTCAAAAATGATCAATACATACAGTTCTCCAACTTGACCACATCTGTTTTCATTCGGGAACAAAGACATAATAAAGAATTTGTTGAAAGAAGATGGGTACGCATTCATGCTTATCGTACTTCATTTTAAGCTCCAGATATACAGATCGAAATATATATATATATAGCTCTTTTCGGTCATTGGCTCAGTGGTTCAAGGACACATATAGCTCCATCTTCCATCACAAGGAAAGCAGACATGCGCATAGACTGTACCAATATCATATCGTCTCAGTCACAATAGATGTTTCTCTTATGACGTCATCGTCCCTGATCAGACGCTAGTTTTTACGAGCCGCAGTAAGCTAAACGGCTTAGATGCTACAAGAAGAAACTTTATATACTTTGTTCAGTACAGTCAAAGTGTTTCAGTTATGTTTACATTAGCATCCAGAAAATTATTATATTTCAGAAGACTGCGGATAGTAACTGAATAGGAGTTTATTGTTATAATATGTAAAATGATCGACTCCTCATATTTTTCTAATACAGTTGTTACGTATTAGAATTTCAAATAGCCTGAAACTGAGTTAACTGATATTTTTTATTTAGTAGTTAAATTGTACTTAAGTAGTTAAGTAAAAGCCGATATATAGTCAGTTTATGATATTTGCCAATAAGATTGATACACACAGTTTTCTTTTTTTAACACAAATATGTTTTAATATAATATACACACAACAATACAATTTACAATAATAGTTACTACAAACAATGATTTATAAAAAACAGTTTCACAAACTTACAAACAATATAATGTCGTCTTTCTAGTCTGGAACTTCCTTGATATCGAGGGTTCACGATGAGCAAGTTAATTACGAGTTCGATTCGCTTAACGGGAGCTAGCTAGCTTTGTCCTTCACTGATCGCACGCCGATGTTTCCACCGGTGACGTTAGGTAATGTTTTCGTAAAAATAATAATGTCCGATGAGAATCCACTGAAGTTAAATGATTTGTAATGTTCGAACTTTGTAAAGGCTCCTGGTCAAATATCTGAAGTTTTCCGATTGGTAAGCGTTATAACAATCACAGTTATAGCTTCCAAAGTATTATAGAACACTGATTATAGCGAACTAATAATAGATACTCTTTTTGGCGCGTCGCGTTGGTTATATATATATAGCCGTGTGGAGGCGTTCTAGAAATTTCAGTTTTACATAACAATATAAATTTAAGCGTTTAAGTACACACATATATTGTTGATTCTTACTCTCGAAAATCTTCTACAACTTTGGAGAATAGGAGGGAGTT